TTTGCAAAAAATAATTTGCAAAATATTGAACGCCGAGTGTTTAATTATCGACTGTCACGGGCACGTCGAGTGTCAGAAAATGCTTTTGGGATTCTTGTTACAAGATGGCGAATTTTACAAACACCTATCGCTTTAAAGTCAAGTACCGCAGAGACAATTGTGCAAGCGATAACATGTTTACATAATTATATTATAAATACTAAATCATGTAATAATCAATATATACAAAAAAATATTATAGATCATGAAAATTCTGCTGGTGAATTAATAGCAGGAAACTGACGAACTTCAATGCCAGAAAATGGTTTTATTAATCGTTTAGGAAGAATTGGTGCCAATGTTGGTGCAGCTACTGCTGTAAGACAACGTGATACATTAGCTCGTTATTTTGCTTCAGAAGAAGGAAGCATTTCATGGTAATGGCAACATATATAATTTGAACAAAGGCTTTTTGTTTACTCAACAACATTGAGCACCAAATTCTTTATAAATATATAACAAAAAAAAATATCGTAGTAAGTAATTAAACTTTTCAAAACATTTTTATATTATAAACTGTGTGTTATACAACTCATAAATACATTTAATGTAATAACACTTAGATTTAAGACGTAAACTAAAAACTTTTTTGCAAAAAATTCTTTATGTCAAGATATAATATAATATAGATATAATTTTTGAGATAGATTTAACATGTATGACAGACTTATTTTTTATTGTACTATATTTTGTACTTTTTTGTAATATAATAAAGAAAACTCTTTGGTGTTAATATTAATTTAAAATTCTTAAGATTTATACAAGTCTCAACATCTCTCTCTTGTACACATAAAATATAAACTGTTAATAAAAAACCTTCTTTAATTAAACACAAATTTCACAGTTTTAATATTTGTGAGAGTCTTAGCATTTTTTACAAAAATATATAATCTTATAACAAAGAAAATTCTTCTTTAATTAACAATAAAGTCCAAATTATTAAGATATATGAAAAATTTCAATATCCCGTGTATATTTATATTCTAATTTTTTGTAACGTATTAGATTAAAAATATACTTTTCTAGAGTTAGTATAAAATAACTCGTGTCAGTTTCAGTTATTAGTGTCGTATTTTATCAAACAAAATTTTATAAAAAGATAGCTTTTACATAAACTTATAGAAACATTTTTTAATGTATAGCATATAGTAGATTTTTTTATCAAACAAAACAACAACAATAATAACTGAAACTGACATGAAATTATTTTAACTCTAAAAAAATATAGTTTGAAATTAATATGTTAAAAAAACAAGATATGGTTTTTTGAAAATAAACTTGAAAATATCAATAAATGATTTAAAAATAATTATATACGTAAATAACAAAAAATAATTTAAACGAGCATAGAAAACAAATATTAAAAATATCAAATAATTGTAGTAAAATATATAGGAACTTCTATGTAATCTTACTTTTTTTATATTTATATTTATAGTTTTTTTATTTTATATTATTCTTTTCTGTCTTCAAATTTTTGAATTATTTGAAGCATTTCAATAAGACATTGCGTTTTATGTTTTCCAGGAACATGTTTTAAAGCTTCTCCAACAGCAACCATATACCTATCTTTATCGTCTTTTTGGTCTGATACCAATGATGTTANTGAATTCATAGCAGTAGATATTACCGAACTTACTTCTGCTAATTCTCGATCAATTTGATCATCCTTCTTTTTCTTTCGTTTTGCAAAGTTATCTGGTTCCGGTGTAACTTTTCTCACCGGTTTAAATATCAATGAAGGACTTTTTACGTTTCTAGAATTGGTGTTTAGTACTGATAGTTGCGTATTGCTGCTACTGCTGCTGTAATTGGACATTGTACTAGTAGATCTAGTTGTCATGTCTTCTTCAATAGGATTTGTTTCTAATTCATCTTTTTCTGTTTGCAAAGATGACCCTTCACCTATACATTTTTTATTATATTAAAATGCATAAATATTAAAACAATATTTTGTCTTTTAAATGATATAAATCTTCTAAAGTAGCGTCTTCACTATAATTATAAAATACTGTAGACCTGTTTATCAATGTGTTAGATGATAAACAACTATTTGTAGCTTCGAATGATGCACTACTTGAATTACTAGTTGACTGGCTCGGCAGCGGAAATGAAGTCTTTGTTCTACAAAAAATGACAAAAAAGATACAAATACATAAAAAAAACAACAAATACATAAAAACTATTATAATAATTTACAATTTATCGTCTATGAGCTAAATGAGGAATCAAAAAAAGCATAGTTTTATATAGTTCCCACTCTTTTGTAGGTGTATATCCAGAACCTGAAGGTGGCAATTTTTGTTTTCTATGTTCTCTGTTAAACATATCTCTCAATGACGACCAACGTTTTTCTATGACATCAGCTACACAGATCATTATGTTATTAATTATTTTTAATTTATTTATATATGAATTTAAAATAAATATTACCTGTCATATCCACATCATATAAGGCTTTTAGATTTTCGGACAGATTTTGCTACACTCTTTTTTTTATTGCAACATTTTTATAATTTGCGTCGCTTTTATTATATACACAAGGATTTTCTTTGACAAATTCTATAATTAATTCATCAATAGTTACTGTGACATACGTTGATTCCATATTATTGAAAGTTTTTTTAATGAATTTTAACTTATTTTCAACTTTAATCGTGTCAAATATGTGGAAGTAAATAAGGTTAAGCAGTTTGGAATGATATATTACTAGAAAAGTCATTAGGTTAGGGTTAGGTAAATGTTTTGTCGTTAGTCGCGGGTCGCGAGTCGCCAAAAGATGAAAGTTGGTCATCTTCTGTTACGACGGCGACACTCGACTTACGACAGCTTTCGATAACACGCGCCAGCTCAATACGCATGCGCCCGACATCCGACAGCGACATACGACTTATTGTAGAACAGGCTTTACAATAAACACTACCCCCCGAATGGGTTCCCACCTTGTAGTAGCTCCGAGGCGGGAGCTGGGGGATCGCGGAGCGCTTAGTGTTCACGTGGTCTGAGCGCCTTGTAGTAACTACACGGAACGTTTATTTTGTTCCCAGCGTGTGCTGGTGGTGGTGTGGCCGAGCATTGATCGCCAGCTTTTGCTGGCGGATCTGTCTGGTCATATCGCCACAATGGAAGTGTAATCTGACGGGACAACTATGGACCACAGAAGGTGAGCATCCGGTGTCCTCGGAGGCTTTGGGCTTTCGCGCCGGAGCGGGTGGCGGGGCTTAAGGTCGCGGGCGATGGTCACCTGCTCAAGGGTGGGCCCGTCTGCGACCAACTAAAAGGAACCCCCCAAGTTAAAGTGTGAGCGACCGTGCCGAGAGCTGCGTGGCGCAAGGGGAGTTGCGTCGTAAACGGTGCCTCCTGGATACCGAGCGAAATCCAGGAGTACGAAGCCAAGCCCCACCCATTCGCGGCTCTGACTGGGTGAGACCGCGCGACTGCGATAGTCGTGGGAACACAAATAGAGATTGATAACGGAAATAAAATCACTCCCAAATCAGTCCCCAAGAGCGAAGCCTCCTCTGGAGGTAAACGCCCAGGGGAATCTTGCAGTGCGGAAGCGGGCTCAAAAGTCCCAAAATACCACATAAGATATAGCGCGGCCGCTAGGCGCCGTTATAATAAACAGATGCTAGCCGGGGAGAGTGGGGCCAATAAGGTCCCCTCTACCCCCGCAGCCTCCTGCTCAAAAGATGGAGCTGGGGGTGGGTGGGCTTCGGGTGGCGCGGCAAAGCGCGCCAGGCCAAAGCACGCTACTCCCAGTCCCTTAGAAAATCGCCAGGGCAAGAGACCCAAAAATGAAAGGTCATATGCACAGGCGACAAAAGGTCTTGTCAGGATGGCCCTCGTACTGGAGGGCTACCCTGACAAGAAAATGGGAGCCGGTGAGGTGGTTGAGATCAGAAAACTGATCAGTCCTGTCATCCTCGGCATGTCTAAGAATGACAAAGCCCCCACTTTTACTGGTTCCTGGGAGAGGGATGACGCACTCATGGTTGTGTGCGCCAACAAAGAGTCGGCGGAGTGGCTTAAAACCCATTCTTCCAATTTAAAAGTCAGAGGAACTCCTCTGTGTGTGCTGCCGGTTGGTGAGCTACCTAAACGTCATCGGGTGGTAGTGCATGTGGAGGAGCCTGAAGTAAGGGTTGAAGAGGCTTTAAAGCTCCTTACCAGCAAAACAGGGCTGGCAACCAGCGATTGGGTCGTCACCAGGGGGACGTATAACAGAGACGCTACGAGCGCCCACTTCTCTTATCTGGTTGGCGACTCGACGATGGAAGCCTTGAAGCACTGTGGCTTCAGGCCTTTCTTCGGTCTCGGCCGAGCCACCGTTAAGATGGCGGGACGAGAGCGCGGGGAGGCGACGGAGAAGAAAATAAAGTTAGAGGGTGTCGGGACTGCCTAAAAATGGCTTCTCTCGGCATCCAAATGACCCAGATTAACTTGCATCACAGCAAGAGCTATCCTAGTCAGGAGCATGGCTGTGATGCATACAAGTATTGCACTAATCCAATAATCATGGATTGTGAATGGTGCAGTAAAGAGACTGAGTGGGTGCGGCTGCTTATACAAAGCATACTCAGAAAATAGAGTAAGATCATGCATTTTAGTAAAAGGACTAAATGCTATCTTTCTGCCACAGCTCAGCAGCGAGGACCTCACAGTCATCAAAGTGAGAGTGAAGCTGGCCGAGGAAGAGGACATAGAAGTATTAATAGGGTCAGTTTATATGCCCTATGACTCCACGGATCCACCACCATATAAAGAGGTAAAAAACCTGGTGGCCTATGCGGAAGCCAGAGGACTCGAACTCCTGCTGGGTTGCGATGCAAACTCCCACCATGTAGAATGGGGAAGCACAAACACCAACCTGCGGGGGAAAAGTCTCCACGACTACCTAATAAGCACAGGATTAACTATTCTCAACAGAGGAAACGAGCCGACATTCCTGGACTCCAGAAGACAGGAAGTCATTGATATTACGGTATGTATAGAGAGGGTGGCGAGTTTGGTAAGGGACTGAAGGGTATCGAATTAGCTCTCTGGGTCGGACCACGGACATATACGCCTAACTCTCCAACAAATACCGCAAATCAGCTGGGTTTGCAACCCACAAAAAACCAACTGGGAGGGCTTTAGGGCTGACCTTAAGGCCCAGCTCGCTATAGCTCCAATCAGTTTCAGAACCAAAAACAACTTGGAAAACGCGGTGGACTTTTTAAAGAACGCCATTACAAACGCCTTTGAATTAAACTGCTCACCAAAACCCAGAAATCCGGTGAACAAGATCCACTGGTAGAATAAAGAGCTCGGTAAGCTCAGGTTAGAAACGAGAAAGAAATTCAGCAAAGCGAAAAGAACAGGATTTGCAGTACACTGGGAGGCCTTTAAAAGAATATCCAGAATATGCCAAGTGGACAAAACGTTTTCTATAAACTTGACTATCAGGGCAGACTGGAAAAACGGAAATCTTCAGATCCAGCCGGGCGTTCAGGCCTGGTTCACTGATAGATCTGAAGCAAACGGCCGCTTTGGAGCGGGCATATACTGTCCAGGATCAAATCACAGGGAGTCGTTCTCCCTGGGTAGGTTGGCCACGGTCTTTCAAGCGGAAGTCTTGGCCATTCTGGAATGTGCAAGACTCCTACTATCAAAAGAAACAAAAAAGAGAAGGATCAACATCTATACAGATAGTAAAGCAGCCATAGGAGCTCTTGCTAAGACCACTATTGAATCCTCAGTGGTCTGGGACTGTATGCAAGCTCTAAATAGTTTGAGTGACCAAAACAGCATCACGCTAGTCTGGGTACCTGGCCACTAAGGTATTCAAGGCAACGAGATGGCTGAAAGTCTGGCAAAACTGGGTACCTTAGAGGAACCAGCCTGTCAGAGAGTTGGAGTCCCTTTTGCAATAGGGAAAAACCACATCAAGGACTGGCTGAAACGGGAGCACAGGACCGCTTGGGAAAAACTGAAGAGCTGCCGCCAGGCCAAGGTCCTGATGACACAGCCATTGCCAGATAGGACAAAGGAACTACTGACTATGGGTAAGTACAAACAAGGATTATGTATCGGTCTTCTCACAGGGCATTGGGCCTTCAGGGCACATTTATTCAACTTAGGCCTAGTCGAGGAGAGTAGGTGTAGATTTTGCGGTGAGGAAAGGGAGGACAGCGTGCGACACATACTGTGTCGCTGCCCGTCTCTAGTACTCAAGAGGTTCAGATCTCTGGGCTCCATGTTCGTGGAGCCCGAAGACCTGAAAACACACAATATCGGCCACCTGTATAGCCTGGCAGCAAATGCCGGGCTAAAACAGCCTGGACGATAAACTACTAGCGGGAGTCGCAGAGGATCTTATAGATCTAGGTGACAAAAGGGACTCACAAGCCCTCCGCTTTTAGCTTATCTATCTATCTTACAATAGACACTAATAGTGACAAACCTTTCTATCTCTAACCAGTTTTCCAGAGTCACAGCAAAATGAAAACGCAGGTCCCGCATGAATTGGTTATTTGCTTCCTTCAAGCTTTGTATGATTTGCTCAAGTGGCACTATTTCTAATTTTGCAAACTTAGTGTGCACGTCGGTAACGTAAATATTCCCTCAATTATTCTCTCGGCATTGAGTTCTATCTCTGTCAGCAAACTGCCCAGCTCAAGAAAATAGTCTCTCAGTTTTTGCTGTTGAGCATAGTCATCAACTTTGTGAGTTATTCTTACCACTGCTTCTCGCAGCCTATTCTCATTTCTTTCTATAATATTTTCCACATTGTCTACGTGAGCAATCGTGGCATTAATTACTTGTAACTGAGTTTTTACAGTATGCTGCAATACGGCCTATTTCCTATTAATTGCAACTGCTCCGAGATTACTTTCTCGTCTTCTGCGTCCATAGTGCCAAACAATATTTTGGCCACGGAACCGACTGCGTTCATTAAACCTCTCCGACTGCGCGTCGGTGTTCCTACTAACATTTTTATTTTTCTTACTAACGTACTGACCTTGAATTCCCTGTGCCGTAACTCGCCAGAAAAACTGTCACAGAACTCCTTATTTTCACTAAGTATTTTTTCGTTGCCGCACAAGTCTTCGGCATTGTCCAACATTCTTTGCACCTGTTCTAGCGTATTATACATAGAAGTTACGTCTAGTCTTACTGTTACGTCCTGGCCCACGGTTACGGTCGGGCTATGGTGGAGTAACAGAGAGCTGTCGTTTCTCTGTCTATCTCCGCACAGTAGGTTGGCGATCCCGCTGCAACGGAGTCGAGCGAGTTTGCTTACGTTCGTCGACAGGTCAACGGCGTACGCCGATCTTACTTTGTCTTACGAACACTCACTCGTTGGTCTCTTTTCAAGTCTGGAGAATTAACTCCACGGACTAAGGACGAGACCGTGCGATCAATTGAGGATGTGGAATGATGAGAGGTCGTCTTAATTAAATGGAGAAATTATGCTACGTATAATATTAATTTATTCATTTTATGGTATTACAATTTTAGGTGTGTGTTCGTGTAGATGAATGTGACATCGTGAATTGTACATCAAAACGGAGGGTCATGGCTCGGAGGCTAGAGAGAGAGTATACATATGTGTGTATGAGTGACGCGATGTGTGTGTGAAGGGCTTCCGGCGGGGTTTTACAGGTGTAATTGTGTCGCTAGCATGTTTAAGACGCCGATTCGTGATAGAAATTATTCGAGGTCGATTTCTATAATTTCTTGGATTTTTGCGGAACTTGGAGGGAACATTGTATAGAAATGGTGGACGGGAACTAAGCGGATATCATCTATGTAGGGAAACTTGACTGGAACGAGCTTTCTAGACGGAGTGGTGGTTATTATCCGGAAGATTTCGGAAGGATCTGTAGTCAGAGGATCAAGGACAAAGGGGATTCTTTCCGGATTTGCTTTTTTATAGGTGGATGCTAATCGGAGGAAATGTTGAAATTTAGGATCGAGCGGAGAAGTGGTTAAGCGGGTTGAGTCGAAGGATTCATCATCTACGGGTTCGTCTCTGGACGTAGATGGTTCGGGGGAAGGAGAGCGAGGGGGAGGTAGAGGAGTCGGGGCGGATTGCAAATCCGCGAGATTTTCTGCGGGAGGATCGGGGGTTACAGGCGAATAGGAGGGAGTTTCACACCACGAATTGTCGTGTGTATGTGTGTCTGTGTGTGTGTGTTCTGAATGTGTCGGTGAGTGTGAGTGCGAATGTGTCGGTGAGTGCGAATAATTTATGTGTACATCGGTAGGGTTTCCTATTTTATTGTCGCTGCCGGAATCGTCTCTTAATGTCGGAGGGGAGGTGGCGTCAATGGGCCTGGTCGGCTCCGCTTCGTTTTGCGCGAGCTCTGCCGCTTGTCGCAATTTTTGACTTTGCCGATGCCGCCGGTGCCGGCGGTTGGAACGCGAACGGCGGGGTTCCACTTAAACGGGAGGTTTTCTTAGCAAGTTATCATTATTAGTGAAAATTGTAAACGAGGTTAACATTCGGAACTGATTTTTCATTCTGCTGACATCATGCTCGATCAAAGAAGAGTTGTCAAAAAAAAGGGAAAGGGGGAAAGAGCTAATTCTCTCTCTCTCTCTGCCGGTTGCTATTCACGACCAGAGTCGCGAACTGCCCTACCGGCGAGGGTGGTTAAGCGAGGAATTGAATTCTCGGCCGGTTGCTATTCACGACTTAGAGTCGCGAACTGCCCTCCCAGCGAGGGTGAGGAATTGACTTCTCGACCGGTTGCTATTCACGACTTAGAGTCGCGAACTGCCCTCCCGGCGAGGGTGAGGAATTAACTTCTCGACCGGTTGCTATTCACGACTTAGAGTCGCGAACTGCCCTCCCGGCGAGGGTGAGGAAT